CGATTTATACTTAGACATGCATGGCTTAATCTTTGAGACAAGCATATGACTACTGGCAGGATCAACCAGGTAGCTTTCTTTAAGGTTACACGACAAGACAACCCAGAAGGATCGCTCGCCGGTCCTTTTATTTATAAAAAGATAATCGTATCACACTTTTATGATTAACGCTTATCCTTATCCGGTTAGTTCCACACAAATATTACCATCCCAAAAAGGGAATATACAATAATGCATGAACTAAAATACCGGTTCCTATTGCCGAGCCTTTCAGTTTTCCTGGTATAACTGACTACTAAAACAATTCTACGTCACATTGAATATGCAGAATCTTTAGAAGCCCGAAATAACCTTAATATGAATTCTCGATAGATTTTCAATAAAAAATAATTTTTCTTCGAAATTCCTCGAGTTGTTCACAATTTTTTAAAAAAAAGAATATCCGTCGGATAGGCAATACACACAAAATAATTAATTATTATTAGATAAATCTAATAATATTTCGTTTTTTATTCTCGCCTTACTTTTATCAAGCAAAAAATTCGAAAACTCCTTGCTTAGACAAATAAAGACGTAATCGTAATTAGGTAAAGACCGCTGATTTTTTTTTATTCCAGAAAATACCGGAAAATCTTTTAAAAAAAAGATTTTTTTTTGTGAATGAAAGAAAAATCGAAAAAAGATTAGAATTATTTCAATTCTTTTTTTTCTTTTTTTCTTTCTTCACATTGTATAATTCGTCTAATATATTTTTTTCTTTAATATTTATTTTATTATTCTATTTATTTGTGCCATAGGATATTTATTTTAGTTTGAGGGCTGTTTGCGCATCCTTTCCGCAAAATATCGTGTAACATAAAATTATGGGTGGTAAAATGTCGAAGTTCTTTGAACATCGCGTTTTGTTATTAGTAAACAGAAATAAGAATATATGACATATCGCATTATTTTACGTAATGCATAAATTCTAACGCGATAAAAACATGCGATTACTTAATTTGACATACGTTAATTTCGCTTATTAATATCGTGAGAATTATCATTTTTTTACTTTCCGTATTTCCTAATTCAAATAAATTAAAAAAATAAATTATTAGATTTCTTGTTAGATCAAAATTTTTATTGAATATTTAAAGTTTAGCAACTAACTTCTATCTTAAGTTTGACATATTGGCTTATTCTTTAAAAGTATTTTTTTGACACTGGTTCAACCTTCGAAAAGGATTTTAAAGATAATTACTTTTCTAATTAACATGTAAAAAAATATTTACAATGATTTTTGCAACTTAATTAATTATTTATTTATTCTGAGATCCTAAAACAGCTGGGTAAAAATTTTATTTATACTATTATAAAATCGATCAAAATTAATTATCTAATTGAGCAAAATTCGTTTTATTATGTACCAAAAGTTAATTTTATTTAAAAAATGTACAGGATTAACAAATTAAAAAAAAAAAGCAAAATTTAACAATTTTATAAAGGCTCTAACAAATAATTTTCAATTTTTTTTTCTGCAATAAATGTTGAAAAGCATGTCTTATAAGGTAACGCAATCATTATTAAATGTTCACTAACTCTCATGTACATTTTCTGCAACAAGTCCCCAACGAAGGTATATGCCGGAAAATCAATTCTAATTCAAACGGTCAAAATCCTTAAAAGAGCAGATTAAAATCAGTATATAATAATAAGTATGACTTATAAGATATGACTTACCAGGTCTATTTCTAAAAAGACTGCCCTGATTATTCCTCTGACGCATATAATAAGGTTGAAAAGCAGGCAGCTGCGATAAATCAAAAAGATGACGCATGGTCGGCCGACCATGTGGGCAGTTCTACGATAAAGCATTAATTAAATTGCTAGATCGGAAAATAAAGTTATACTTCACTCACCCAAGGCTGATTTATTTCTCCCATGTGCTTGACAATCTATAATCAAATCCAAATCGCTTGTGTCACCTTCATGAGCAAATATTCAGAAAATTCACAAAATAATATTACTGAATTCTAAACATTTTAAGAGACTAGTAGACTCCTAAGCCTAACACTTTACTAACTTTTTCCATTTGTTGACGACTTAACGCATCTCCGATCATCACGGATTTACGGCAGGCCCGAGAGGCAAACATACTTCGCACGTGTGAACACCGAACCATCTCCCCAGGTCGTTCGGTCAATAGATGAATCAATTCCTCTAAGTCTTTGAAAGAGTAAGTGCCAAAGTCGCCGAGATCGTTCAAAAAAAAATCTTTGATTACCTTTGACATCAAATACCGTATTTTTGCTTATTGGTTGCGACAATAATTTTAACTTGTTTGAAGGTTTTGCGTCGTGATCAATTTCCAATTCGAAACCATTATCTTGCAAGACCTTCATATTTTCAATCGCTACCAATTCTTCGGCGACAGTAAGTTCAAGTCTTCGCGGACTAAACATGTCACAATTTAATAAAAGGTGATACAAGAAAAGAATATGGAATAAGGAAAAAACCTTATTAGCCGTTGAGATTCGATCTTGGTGTGAAGCTGAAGTTTTTCGAAATTGTATTTCTCATCAGACGCATGTTGATCAATAATAAACAAATCTCCGCTGTTCTTTAGTCGAGTAATAATAAATCCGTGATTAAATTGTCCAATAATTTCCATATGCTCAAAGTCTTCTTTCGTCAAAATCTTATTCAATTCATTTTCAGCAACCTTATTATCTGTCACTGTAATACCTGCTAAATCTCGTAATTGAAACTTTATATTATCTCTCCCTTTCGTACAAATTGTTGTCCTGTTTTTGAATTTAGGTGATTCATATCTCATAATATCAAAGGCAAGCTCAATTCGATGCTTATCATTTGAATTAAACATTTTAGCATCGCCTTCTAATCCGACTTCACTCTGATCATGTGATAAGTCTCCAGTAAGTTTGAATTTGCCTAAATTTTCATTTTTTGATAAAGTATCATTAATATCATCAATATCATCAATATCATCAATATCATCGACACGTTTTGATAACGTTCGATCGTTGTCATAACTATGTGCACTGACTGAATCTTCCAGAGATTCTTCGAAATTTTTGTTATTTGCTTCAAAATCTTGCAATGAGTCGATGCTATCATTATTACTAAAATCCTCGTCGGCGATTTGCATGGAATTTGATTTTCCAGGCACGTTGGCAATTTCAAGAGAAATTTTTCGCTTTTTAGTATGAATCTGATGACTCGATGTTGATTCAAGTGTCTTCTTATCTTTCTCAAGCACTTCGGTGACCCGACAATTTCTTAAATAATTGTTCCTAGATAATTCATTGGTACTGTCATCACGGGATGCTACGTTTTTTTCAATTCTTCCTAAAGTCCCTTCATCACTATCATTAACTTGGACTACACTGCCTTCAGTATTATTGTATTGGTGCCCGCCTTCAAGGAAATCGTCATCGTGGTCATCCCGCGTTTTGATTTCTTTACTTTCTTGTGTTTTTTTTTTGACTTCTTTTAAATCCAAATGATGTAACAAGTTTTCTTCTGTAGGTAACTTTGTTCCTTCTGCATTAAGACTAGTGAAAGTAGATCTGAATGGCTCCAAAACGCGTTCCATCTCGCTCTTCACGACCAAATCAAAATGAAAGAAAAAAAAATTAAGTACATAAACAAGAAACGACTACAATGATGTTTATTAAATATTACTTTCAAGGCTTCAATGATCTTATTTTCGTCATGAATAAAAATGGTCCTTTTGTCCGGGCTGACGTTAACATCATAAGTAGCTACATAAAAAACATACATCAATTAAACTTGAAATTAGAAACATCCGCTCAATTAAATTGAATATTTTTCTTACATTTTGCAAGTCTGAAATCAGCAACAAGGAACGGATATTGATTTGTGTTAAAGCTCTTGTACAATTCATTCAAAGCTTTCGCGATCTAGGCAGAATAAAAACAAATATTAAATAGATAATTCATTAATAAATAAATACATAAAATAAAATTAGTATAATAACCTTTGGTAAAGTGCAAGGTCGACCGTTGATGAAATAATATTGTCTATCTGCACTCCCACGACCATATCCTTTCATGGGTTTCGATATATAACCAACGAGATGAACGGAGCAGTGATCACTGTAAACAAAGATAATAAGCATAATTTTGAAATTAGATAGTCATCCACATTTTTATTTTCTGACCTTTCAAGTTGACTGTCCGAATCTTTTGGAATCATTTGTCTCTCTGGTTTCAACTCAACAGTGAAGTCCAACGGCACGATCTGGGTTACGATTTTTGCGCCAAACAAATTGGCGATATTTTCTCGCATAGTGTCGTTGCAGCTGGTACTAATTACTATTGTTTTTGCACTATTGATAAAGAATAATTGTGACCAATGAATGTAATTTAAAAAGTAGAAATTCGAAATCTACAAAGTTACCTGTTATTCGGTTGATTTGTACAGCCTATTTTAGTATTTATGCATATTATAGCATAAGCTTGCAGCAAAGTCAAGGCTTTACCGAATTCGCGCTTAATGTTCTTTTTGAAATCTCGGTACCGAACAGGAAAAGATTCAAATAAATTTTGTAACAGTACAGTTGTGCCTCGCTATATTTAGAAACTTCGCGTCAAATAAGATTCCTATAAACCTAAACGAAGGCAGTCAGAATATCTAACAGTACCTCACGTGCAACCTTTGTTCTTTTCACGAGATGTCCATTGCGATCATATTCTAACTTAGTTCCAGTTGGGACTTCCTCCTGAGTACATGTTGTAACTGTAACTTTAGATAAAGCGCAAAGAGAACTAAGGGCTTCCCCTCTAAATCCAAAGGATTCTATTTTATCCAAATCCTCAAATTTCGAGAGTTTCGATGTGTAATATTTAAGAACTACACGGATCATATTAATTATTGGTTTTCAATAATTGACTGATATTTAAAAAATGATAAGTACCTACCAAGTTGCTCATAATTAAGTTGATTTATTCCTATACCATCGTCAATTACTTCAACTGAATGTAAACCATATTCTCTAAACCTAATCTCTATCGATCAAGGACGCGACATAAATAACGGCTAAACAGATTAAGTTAAAGGAGTTTGGCTCTTAACTACTTTAAATTGCCGTACCAATAGTTTTTGCCTGTGCGTCTAGGCTATTTTCAACGAGCTCTTTTACCGCAGTTGCCAAATCCAAGATAACTTGCCCGGAACAAATTCTGTGTATCGAAGACGCGTCTATCGGTTTTACTGCCGCCATTACAATTTGATGGAACGGTATGTTGGATTTTATATATATATAAATTCATTCGTGTTACGATAGTAAGCTGATATCAGTTTATATAAGTTAAAAAAAAATTATTTTTTGAAATTCTTTTTTTTTTTTTTTTTTTTTTCCTTTAATCAAACTGCATTTGCTGTGTTTATTATTCTTTAAAGAAATATTACAATAATACATTAAGCCCTAAGGCTATATACTAGAGCTAAACTGTGTCTAATGCAGAACACCTGTCAATGAGCTATATAACTCTCTAAGTGTGATTGTAGAAAATAATAAAATTACTCCTTTTCCAAGATCGCTCCTTGGCCTTAAGAAAAATCATCACCAGCCTACATTAAGACTATCACACCAATACGAATCTGTGGTCCTAAGAGGTAAAAAAAATTTTTATTTTTTAAGAAATTAAAGAGGAATTAAAAGGGTAGTAAAAGAGTTTATTCTGGTAAATAAAAATCCTCCAATATCAACTTCAATTCATCAAGATAAATTCTTTACTACTACCTGCAGCTGGACAAACTATTTAATTTCTGCTATTTCATTGTTAACCAAGAATGTTTAAGGACACTTCCAAAAGAGTAATTCTTGAAATTTTATACTCAAAGACTTCTAACCTTTAGAGAGGGTTTATATTTTGATTGTAAATTTCTCTTTCAGCCTAATCTCCATGGATTTATGGCTTCTTTCAACCAGTAGATAATTTCAAGACCCCTTTCTTCAATCATTTTTGGGATAATTAACAATAGAGGAAGCTTATTACTAGATTGGAATGAAACTTCTTTTAATCTTGAAGAAAAAAGAAACCAGTCCAAGAGAAGAAAAGGAATACCATAATACTTCTTAACAAAAAGAGCACCTTGTCATCTTGCTCTTTTCAATATATCTAATTGCATCATCAGGTTTTGTATTGTATAAGATAGGGCATATGGAGTTACATTTTTTGTTTACATTTCTTGCTACATGTAGATCAACCAGTCCTAAATTCGAGCCAATCACCATTCAAGGATTCCGGTGTAACCAGAAATTCAAAGTCAAACTGAAGTAAGCAAAATTCCTCAGAAAAACCAAGAAAAAGTTTATATGCTTAAAAAGATAAAAGGAAGCTTGAGGAAGATGAGAAAAGTGTTTCAAAAACTGTGTCAGTCTTTTCTAAAGTCTTGAATTTCTGGAGAAAGAGAGAAGTATGTTTTTTCTACAGGTTTTTTCTTAACAAAGTTTTTTTGCCTTTAACTTTATAGGTAGGTATTTCTTATATTTATTCACAGAAATATAAAAAGTTTATGTCAAAGAAAGAAAGGAACAAGTGGAGGAGACTATGGTCTCTTGGTATGAATGTTGTTAATGAAAGTATATAGACTTTATTACAAAGAACTATATAAAAATTTCCTTGGAATGTCTGTTTTTTGTGTTGGCAAAGAAATCAGTGGAAAGAGTTTTTTTATTATTAGAATTAGTTTATTATATAATTAATATATAATTTAATTTAATTATTTATTTTATAATTGTTTAAGCTAATTTAAATAACATATATTTAAAGAGATTTGACTATACTTTAATTTAAAATTTTGATTTTTTTTTATAAATACAAATTTATATACTTTTTAAAAAATTTATTTATAGACACTTGAAGAAATAGAATTTAAAGGTAGATGTAAGAGCTTTCTATCTTTAACAAAAATAGAATTAATAGCAATTCTGACTGTTATCACATTCATTAATCCCAATATTGAAGCAATAATAATAATCAATAGTCAAAATATAATCCACATAATATAATTAGAAATTTTATAAAAACAGAGAATAGCAAAAGAAACAAATATATTTATAATAATACTTATTCATAAAAAGATAAAAAAAGAAAAATAATTACTGAATTTAAAAAAAATTTAAGTATACACATGAGACAAATACAATAAACAAGTAGACAAATTAGCAAAAGAAGACAGAGAGCTTGATTATATATACATTATAAATATTAACTATTAATAGATAAGAAGTATTAAAGATACACTTCAATGGAAGGGCAGAAATCTTGATATAAGTATTAATGGATTTATAAAGCAATAGCAAAACAGCAAATGGATCAGTATATGAGCTATGCAAAAAAGACATAAAGTATGGCTTAGAGTGAAAGAAAAGAAAATGATAAATTAGAAAAGGATATAAGCAAGCCTTTCTCTATCAAAAATTACAAGTTTCTATATTAATCAACAGGATTACAATAACAAAGTATTCAAATACAAACTGTTTAATAATGAGTTGCCTACTAAAAGCAAATTGAATGAAAGAAGACTTGATTTATATAAAAACAAGATATGCTTATAATACAAAAAATAGGAGATCACAGAATATATCTTTAACAAACATTATAAAGACAAGGTCAGAATTATATATGTATATTCAAGTACTGAAAGAAAAAATATTTAGCAGAATGAAGAAATAAGAGAAAAGAAGAAAAGAAGAAACTGAAGAGAACAACTTATGTATATTATAAATGATTAAAAAAAAACCATTAAATATATAACTAAAGATATTTATAAAAAAGATCTAATCAAGTTAATAAAACAAATTAATGAAAGTAAGACCAAAAATATACTAAGAGCAGTTATAAATTGTATAACAAAAGAACTTTGCAAATTCTGAAACTATAGATATATCAAATTTCAACAATAGAAAGAAAAAGAAAACAACTAGAAAAGAAAAAAGAGAAAAAGAAGAAGACAACAAGTCAATATCCAATTCAAAAATACAATGCAATACAGATTACTATTGGAAAAAGTGAAGAAAGCAGAAAGGTTGTAGAATAAACCAATAAAGAACTGGTTAAACCAAAAAAAACAATATAATTAATTTCAATTTTCATTATTCATACAATAACAACACTAACAGAGTTTTGATATATTAATCTTGATACATGCTAAAAGATAAGTTAATAGCAATAAGCTAATATGGAATATTTTGATATAGTATAATATATATTTAGAATAGTTTATAGATAGTAAATCTTGTAATAAAAGATACCAAGTTCAGTTCCAGGTGAAGGTAACTGGACCGTCTCAAGATGATATCTGGCACCATAACCTAACATGCGCTGTTTCCTATAAGAAGCCAATTCACACGTTGA